ACAGATTTGAAATCATGAGTCAATTGAAGCTAGACCACCATGGAAAACCTGGAAGCACTGGACGGCTGTTTCGTCCTGGTATGGGACTCCTCAGCGGTGCGCGTCCACGATCCCGCACCCCGCGAGATTCCAACACAGGACCTATCAGTCTTGCTCCAGGCGCTTAACCAATTAGACTACTGAGCCGGTATCCAATGCTGTTAATGTCTAACTTCAACCAATCCACGAAGTTGCGCCACCGTACACCATTGTCTTCAGTGAGTTGATATCTCACAACAGACCCGGTTGAACTTCACTGGTCACTGCTTCTCACTAGAACTTCAGGAAATACCTCTTGAAGTCAGTCACTAGTGGACATATGTTAATGAATACCAGAAGGGGTTTTATGGATATTATAGTAATTTTTAATAGTAGAAATCATGAGTCAATTGAAGCTAGACCCAGTATAATATAATCATCATTATAACCACTAAATTATCAAATGACTATGCTAGGTTGGATAATATTCATTTGCAGTAATACTATTTAGAAAAATTATTTCATCCCTAAATATTTTCTGTTTAATTCCATATTCTTTTCCTTGGTCATTGAAAAGTTGTCACCTTAAATTTTAATAACGAATTATGCTCTACGTATCATTCATGCCTAAATATTTATAAATCGACTAATGGAACTAATCAATTAATTCTTATTTCTCAGTGTATAGAAAGTTTCCCATTCAAAGGACATTGAGTCAACTCAGACTACCTCAAATATTTGGTATAGTTAATTTAGAAATCTGAACAATAAGTAGATACTTAGACACAAATTTCAAAATAAATAATGGTCAGTTGTGAATATTTGTTCTAACCCTAATGTACTTTTATGAATAACTTATGTATATAAAGTACTTAAAGGTAAGAAGAGAACAATGTAAAGGTTACAGACATTCAACTGTAACTTCATTTTCAAAGAATTTCTGTTTTGTCTACGTAAAACTAATCGAATTGTTTTTAATGTAAGCTTAGAGTTCTAAGGCAATAAATATGAACTAATCAATGAGATAATGAACTTCTATCATGTTCACTTAAATTTTTCAATAATTATTCCACTGTTTGTTAATTGTTACTGTAATAATATTCACAATAAACAACAGACCATAACATGATTCGTAACGAATGAAACTACTTATTGTTGTGAATAAATTCTATTCACATTTTCCATTTGAGTATAGTCTTTCAGATGTTATGAATCAATAATTAAAGAACTTTACGTTGATTATTCCAAATCAATCGCAATGGCTAAGATACATTCCCAAATTGACTTTGAATCACCTTTAGAAAAATACTTTTTTAATGAATTAATCATTTCCTCCTAATTTTTACGAACTATGTGATTTGTTTCTCTCTTGTGTGATATAGGATAAAGTACTGTCCAATAGTTAGATATAGTTCAAAGGAAACCGTTTTAGGATTTGTGTTAATTGATCATTCGTCAACCAGAGGTACTTACAGCGTTGAATTACTTAAACCATTGATTACATTTAAGATTGATAGTATTCGATCAACACTAAAGGACAAGTCAAACATAACGTTGATTGCTACCCTGTAACCAATTAATTGTACAATAAAATACTCTTAGATTATTTCATATCCATTTGTTATCAAAACGTGTAGTTTCTGGGTGGGCAACATCATATTACTAAATTGTTCACTTACTGAGACAGATTACTTTTTGGACAATGTGATATAATAATTTATTTGTTTTAAAAACAAATTAAATGCTAGAAGACGAAGATTATCAGAACTATGTGATATATTAGCGCAATACATTTCGAACAATCTGATCACGCATATACTTGTTAAGAGCATTTATATATAAAAATAAAAGGTCAACTAGACTGGGAACGGGGTAAGAGGAGATAAGGATAATGATAAGAGTAATAATAATAATAATAATAATCTGAACACAAAGCGAAACCCAATCCTTCTGGATAATAAGTCAATATTACGAGGGTAGGTTTAAGGTAAGAACAAACTGTTTTTGAACACACAAAGGGGGTTCGAATGTATTGGGCTAATATATCACATAGTTCTGATAATCTTCGTGTTCTTACTACATTATCGAAATTTATCAAAGGGACTAATTGTTTTAAATGCTAGAAAGCAATTTTTCCTTTCCTTTGTCATACGAAAGAGATCAAAAGTTCACTGAATTATTTAATGAACAAAAATCTAATTCTTTATTGTATGTGATCAAATTACCATTTATCCTGGATCCACTGCTTAACCTTTTTGAGAATAAATAATATAATTTCGTAGGATACATTGTTCTATGAATCTGTTATTGAATTTTAAGATCTTTAATAACCGGAATGTGTGCAATACTTTGTATTATAACTTATCCAAATCACGAATTGAAATGATGTCTAACATTTGTGTTATTTAATACGATTTATCCTCTGTCCTACTTCTAATAATTGTAACTCGGATATAATGCAAATTTCACAACGGATAATAAAAATACGAAAATCCGGTTTATATGACGATTTTATTGACCCTTCAAAACACGTAATCCGTAAACGAAATTACACTTGGATCATTTTTACACACATATGATAGTTATTCAATTTTATCATAGGGGACATGAAGTCATTGTAAAATACACATGCTGAACGTAATTCACACTGTATCAATACAAAGAATATTGACCTAATTAAAAGCCTGATTGAACTAAATTCATGGCAAAGTGTAGTAAATGGATGAACCTATCAGATTCAAACGTGAAATCCATTCATTCATATGGCTCTAAAGCGTTCTTGAGTCATAAACTGATGTCGGTTATTATTCGTACATAAAAGTTCATTATTCATGTTAGAAATTATCAGTCACATACTTTTCTGGTTGGCTAAAAAATAGTTCAAGGTCTTCCTTATACTTCCTCTAAATTCAAACACAAAAATTATTAACTGGAGGTAGATAACACATTTTTCATCCCATTTTATCAAAACGATTAGTCATTTATGGATTTCCATAGTCTAGTGAAAAACAAAGTTTGTCTGACTGCTGTGATGTGTTTACGCCATAAGACTGGGATGCATGTATCTATTTAGGGATTTACGCATAAAAACAAATTGAAGGTCAAGTAAAATACAAAGTAATAATTATAAACAAAAGATAGATTAAATATTCATGGAAAGAAGTTATCACACCACCATAGGCTTTAAAGCTTATTGAAGATTATCAGGGCAGATTCTCTATTGGGTCAGATTGTTTCTGTCTGCGTAAAGGTGGATTGAGTCTCCTAATGACTAAAGCTTTGCCTTTGGCCATCTCCAAACAAAACTTTGAAAGCTGCTTTAAACTCAATACTATGTCTCATTGTTATCGAGGATCGTAGGTTACTACTTTATGAATTTATCGGAGCACATAACACTAACTTATTATGAAAACATTTAAGCAGATATCCTGTCAACCTTGATTACAATGTTCGATTATTTGTGTCCACATGGATATGTAAACTAGTAAATGTAGTGGAATGTAATATAATCCTTTATTTGATGTTGAAGCCTATGTGGAATTATGGGCTTAGTCTTATTTATAATCGATTTAGCAGCATAGTACATTTTCACGATGATTGTTTTTTGGTCTCTGAATCAAATTTCTGACGTCTGATTCTCCTTTATCTGGTTAGGTGATACAAACGCTTTTCTTGGAAACAGAATTAAGAAGAATAATTTATTTTTGTATCGGTTGTTTTAGTCTTCCCGCTGATGTTTAGGACTGTAACTGATCAGTCTCATTGGTATGTGTCGTATCCTGTGCGGGTTGCCTCGATATTGCCTTAAGTCAAAAGCATTATAAGCAGATATTCAAATAACCAATACAAAAATGAACTAAGCTTCACCCCATTGACCAAGCTACTGCCTATCTGGACTCAGTAGCTAAAAGGATAATGCAGTGGCGTTTGAAGCAGACGGTACCGGGTTCGAGTCCCGGACTGAACGTCAACTCAGATGCAGTTACATCCAGCTGACGAGCCCCAAAATAGGGCGAAATGCGCGTTCTGGATTCCACTGCTATCCACCATCCATCACTGCAGAATTAAGAAAAGTTTTCAAATGTTACCTGACTGATACATTAATTTATAAAGTTCGACGGACAATCCGTTTAATATCCTTGATTAGGTTATCCCTGTCATATTGTCTTCGTCGAATACTGTTGAGTGAGCAATTACGAAAGTAAGAATTCAATCCATTCATCGTTATTTGTAAATAAATGAGGCCTACTTCATATTGATCGATAAATAGTGATTAATGCTATATTTTTACAGTGCTTAGTGGTGACCAGATTCTATCGATCATATATTGTTGTCGCCACTCATCTAAGTCGTTGATAGCGTTCTATTAGTACTAGAGATTCCACAAACATTACGTTATTGGCTAATCAGTTCATGTAAATATCTCAGTCATATTCCAGCTCAAACGCTTCCCGAATAGCTCAGCGTTTCACTGTAAAGCTTGGCGATGTGAGTTTCAATCCTATAATAAGTATCATTTCCCTTTAAGAATGCACTTGCATCTTGCTGATAAGTACCAACTAGCCCGAAACCTAGTTCGATTATGTATTCTTGCTGACCACTTCCAACTACCGTACATTGGAACCTAATTACTCTATAATTTGTGGAGCTGTTCACTTCCAAACACAGAAAAAAAATTTCATGTTTTAAATACTAAGTAAAATGTAACATTAAAAAATTATCATCCATTTCACAAGTTTTCAGTTTGAAATTCTTTAAAGTATATTTATGTAATTTCACATTCAATTTATATCTACTTCAATTATTTAGCCCATGATTTATTAGTTGATAAATAACACTGAATAAAGACTGTAAGAAATCACATATAGACTACAGTTGAATATTTCATTACCTGATGTCAGTTTATGATGAAAATCGTCATCAAAGTAGAATCACCATCACATATTTCAATGAATTTTTTTATTGTTTTCGTCTTAACTTAGGTTGTGTTGGAGTTCACCAAACTTTAACATTCGGCATAGCTGCATTGCTACCCATGAAGTATTCAAACGCAGTGATAGTAGGATCCGTAAGTTCTTGTTTATTTTTTGATTCTTTTCCGCTATATGTTGTTTGACCATTTGCATGAGGATATTCAAAGGAGTGGTTATTTACTAACTAGCATTTTTAAACCATTACTTAACAACTATAAAACACATTTTTTAAATAAATATAATAATTTATATTCTGAAAATAATAATTACAGAATTCACGCCAGTTTACAGGCATGATCAATTTGATATAAATAGTAACATTAGATGTGCAGAACAAACATGTGATAGAAGAAAGTTTTAAGTATACTAGTTCAGTAATTGGCTAGGTAGTACATGTATTACAGCGATCCAGTGCATCAGCCGGGAGTTTTTAATATTTCCTGAATGGACAGCCTGTTGATTTATGAACGGAGTAATTAAGGTCATTTTGTGTGCCAGAGCGAATTAATGATAATTATCTACAACTAGAGAAATTAAAACGAAAACAGAGCATGGAACAACAAAGCAGTAATTACCAAAAATGTATGAATCAGGTCTACCTAAATGCGTGCGTCATGTGACACAGTGATATACTGTTGATGCTATTCAAATTAGTTAAACTTGCTAGGGACGATGTTAACATAAAGTGACAGAAAGTAAGTGGTTTTACTTAGAAAATGCACTAATAAAGATGGCTAAACATTTAAAGTTCCTGTAATCTCACTTGTAGAATAAGATACACTTACAGGTGCTAGACCATTCAATGCATTTTCAGAGGAGCAGTATGCATCGATGCAGCGAACAAATAATGGGAGTGATTTTATCGTACGGATAGATTGTGGTAGGTTATTCCAGAGTCTAGAAAATTTACAGGTAAAGTAATTCGTATAAAGAGATGATTTAGAATGAGTTTGTTTCACTAGTGCCAAGGAATTACGGATGTCATAATGAGAAGTTTCTGCATATTGAATCACGTGACTGGATGTAAAGGATAGTTTGTTGGAATCTGTATTGGTTTTCGTCAAGCTGCAAATTCATGTATGAACGCATCATCACGTATGTGCGTTCGGCCAAGTTTCTGTATCACGTTATCACAACAATATGAAGATAAATGAAAAAGTATATATAATGGAATACTGGAATTCAAGATCTAGGGTGAGACAAAATAATGTGATAGCCTCTGCTCCAATTCGACCAACTCTGAGTCATGTCTTCTAAAACCTTCAGCCACTGGTTGAGGTTATTGATGCACTCTAATGCAGAGACCAAAACGACAACTCAACTGTTTTCTAAGTATTCCCTGATTTTTACTGGTTCTCCAGTTGAAACTTGTTTGTACTAAAAATTAAATTTTTCATATGTAAATAACTTTTACTGTGGTTATGTAAACTTTGTATTGGTTTTATATTATTCACTTTGTTGTAAAATAATTAGTTATAAAATCTTCCATTATGAAGATGGTGTAAAGGGAAACATGCTATTAAAACAAATTTACTCATATACTTTCGGAATATTTAACAGCGTGTGTCATTGAAAAATGTAAACGAATGCATAATACTTAGTTGGTTAGAAGTTAACGATGTTTCATTGTATTTTATATTCTTCATTGACTTAAGAATGATATTCTTAAATTAGATAATGTCTAGCGTATCTACTTTCATTGAAATGTTTCAAATCAGATTAATCATTAATAAAAGTTTTACAAATGTAATTACATTTAAAGTTTAATTAAATAGGTAAATCATATAATACATGAGAGTAACTGAAGATTTAATAAAGACTATTGAAATGATTTGACAAATAGATGATTAACTACTATTTGAATAATAGGTTAATATTAATAGTAACAACTGTGGCTAGATGTTATAGATAGTTCAAGATGTGATTATTTTTTATTGTGGTTTCAGATGCTTCTTGTCAGCGAGTTTTTAACATCCTTATTATTATAGATAAGGAAGATCTAGAAGTTATATTCAATTACTTATGCACAGTAACTTGAACTAGTCTGTGAAAGCGTGATGGTTCACACCATTGGCACATTAAAGATGAAACATTAATTTCCTTATTTTCTAAACGGGGAATATCTCAATCATTCCCTATGATTTGATGAGATATTCGTCTATCAATGAAAGGACGAGTATACTGCGCGGCAGTTCGTTCTGTTTTACTTTACGGCTGCGAAACATGGCCATTAAGAGTAGAAGATTCTCGTAAGCCACTAGTATTTGACCACAGATGTCTTAGAAATATCGCTCGCATTTTCTGGGATCGCCGCGTAAGTAATAGTGAGGTTAGACAGGATATTAGAGAATGATGGTAAATCAGTTGATGAGATTGTGAATCTCCATCGACTGAGATGGTTGGGACACGTGTCACGTATGCCTGAACACCGTTTGCCACGACGCGCAACGCTAAGTTAGTGTTGGAGACGGTTGGAAGAAAGGTAGGGGCAACCAAACCATCATGTAGCACCAGTCCTTGAAGTCACTAACTTCAAGTCTGAGCCACGTTGGTAGATGCAGACTAATTGGTTGCGGTCCGCGTGACTATCGTAACTATCGGTTGGAGACTTGGTGACATGACTCAAAATCGATTACACTAGCGTAAGTGTATACACTCTCTGTCTTCCCTTAAACTGCGAGATTAAAATTGCTATATATCTTTCTTTCCAAGAACTAATCCTTTCTTCCTGCACTATATCCTTATACACTATTTTTCTTTTATACGTTACTACCATTGAAGTGACTTCTATGAATTTACTGTTCATCGTGTTGTGTTAATGAGGTATGGCAACTAGGACCGATGCATATATGTGCATGGTCCTATGTTGTAGCTGACTGATATGATTTGACTGCCCCATCCTTAATTTGCACACTCATTTATAACTCAGGTGGATGATTTATGTGGAATTTTATTCTCTAAGCTGGATGGTTTGTGCTAATGATGTTGTTCAGAAGAATAATGATAACTCCCACGACTAAACCATCCAGCTCAAAGAACAAAATCCCACCTACATATTGAACTATTTAAATCATTTTTATCAATCATATGTTGTTATTTGACATGAATGTGGCAATTTGTTAATTTCTCTAGATTTGATTAAACGTTATATGTAACTACCACCTATTAGACTATTCTACTTGATAAAAAAATGTTTACAATGTTAAAGTTCTTTACATCTCTTTTTAACATTGGAAGTGACTTTTAATTTAAAATCCTTGATCGTTTATCTTATATGAATATGTTTCTACATGGTTTCACCCTAAATTTTCTATTCTTCTTCTTCTCATCGTCTTGGAAATACAGAATGCATGTGGTGCAATAATTTCATTAGTGAATATTATTACGAAATCATTAACTTTAAGTAAGTCAGTTATTAATTTCTTTAAAATAGTGAAATTCTTATGGACATTTAAATTGATAACTTCTTTATTTACTGAAGCTTTTTTGTCAAATCAATTTCTAGAAAAAAAATATTCATTCTGGTCAGTGGAAATTTAACTTCTGAATACTAATGATAGGTTTGTGGGGCCCTTTTATTTGTCGTTGTTTAGATCGGACGATGTTGTCGAAAGGGCTCTCCACTTTAGTGACCCGAGATCTGACTCCAATTAGATCGTATGAATGTTTGTTATCGCTTTTCCTCGTATATAATCATCGACTTAAATCACGTTAGTCATTAACGGAATTAAATATGTCGAATAACGAGAATGGACTTGTGAATACATATATTTCGTATATAAAGCGAGCGGAATAGAGAGAAGAGAAACAACGCAGAGTATAGTAAGTCAACTCCCCTTTAACCAAGCGTTAATCAATATTTATAGTTACACAAAAGTAAGTTACAGACATGTGATGAGTAATGGGATGAGAAATGTACACACCTACGCGCTCACAGAAAAACAGTCAAGATTGATAAGCGAATAAATAACAAGGTCAGAATGTGACTCAAGTAGAATGAATAGAATGGGCTGTCCGAAAGCTAGAATAAGGTATATGGGCTTAATATAATAACCGACACTACATGTTTAGTATGAATTGTAATTTAAACAAACATGAATGTAAAGTTTTTGTAGAAATAGATGGAATATGCCTAACAATGAAATGGAAAATGCACATTTCATCCTATTCGGAACTCGTTAGCTAGATACACTTGCATTCTAGTTTTGATGTTTAAATTGAGACTTGTGCTAAGTATCATTCTCATCAAACACCAACAAATTATTTACTTAACTAGTGAATCTGGATAGCCACTGGGTTGTGAGACTTGTTAGATATTTATGAAGGTTGGAATTATCCTATTAATTATATTGATCACTGGATTTCGATCAGCCTTTATAAGCATATCTTCAAACTGTACGAATTAACTCGACACAATCAGTGTTACAAGCATAAATATAAGCTTTATGTTTTCAACCGATTCATAATAGAAACAATTTGTGGCTGTTTCAACAATATTCACAAAATCACTTTCCGTTCTACTGACTAGCTTCGATGTCTATTTTTTCTTCGAATTTGTAATGGGAGGTTGTGACTACTTAAATCATCCATCTCAAGATTGAAGTGGTAACTCACCGATAACTATGACTGAGATTAATCCCTTATCACCAATTGACAAGAGTTTTCAATGTGACCCATAAAGTTAAAACTCTGCATCAGTTGTATTGTGGTCACTGACATGCTTGAAATTGGAGTTTGATTTTAACTGAGTTTATATAATAATGTATACCTCAGAAGAGCCCCGAACCAGGACAAAATGTCTGTCCGGTATTCCTTAGTTTCCATCATTTTTTCCCATATCAAATCAGTTTATGGAGAAAAACCAAATGAAAAATTTACTTTAAATTTGTTTGAAATTTCAAACAGCAGCTCAGTTACGACTTTATAGTGATCCATTAATTTTTTAAAATCCCCAATAACCATCATAATTACCATGTTTTATCTGTTATATTTGACATTTTATTCTTATTTATTAAAAACAATTGACTTAGTACATAATTCTATTCAACAGGTTCATTTTATAGCTCAACAACTGTATATATGTATATTTTAATAAATAATTTGAAAAAAACAAACTTGGATGTGTGTTGCGATGGCACAAACAGTTAAAATGAAAGTCATGAAATATGGTCACTATCGAAAATTTCAGACGAATGGAAAATAAAATATATATGCTTTAAAGATGAGACAGCTAATTAGAATTGAGAATGTGACTTTTAAGTCCTTTTACACGAAATTCATATATCATCTTTTTTTTCTCTTAAAAAAAAATCACAAATACCTTTGTAAGTGTTCTAAACATTTAAAGTAATGATGAAAAATTATTTTATGCAGTTATAGAGTAAAGGTGATCGTATTAAACGTATCAAATAACTAATTCACTCATCCTAGGTTGTATATAACAGACACATTTATATCATCTATAATTCTTAAACGTAAATCCTGAATTGAGAAACACATCTAAATTTAGTGGCACTACATTGTATTAACTGAATGATTAAATAGAGCCTTTTATATTTTTAAGCGAAATTCATTCATCCATATGGCAATAGAGCACTTTTTTTCTTTGCATTGTAATTTATATCAATTTTTGATGAAACCCTAACTCTAAACCTTTAATCCTAATCTTAAATACTTAACTCAAACTAGCAACAAGGTGGAGACTTTTAAGTATCTTTTTAGGTCATTTTAGGGGTTCAAGAATATGGAACAAATACATGATTGACATATCCATTAGGACAAGTTTATATGTCTTTTTTTCGAGTTACCTGTAAAAGACAATATAGTGATCACTTTTATAAAAGCTGTTTACGCTTTACAATATTATTTACTTCCTTTTCATGAACTATCCATTTTTGATAGTTTTCTACTGATGAACCAGAAACTAACAAGAGATTTCGTGTTTTCAGTTGATCCTTTTACTCTACTTTCGACAAAAACCCTTCGTTTTAATAATAGTGTATGCTAATTCTTGTCTCGTTTAAAATTCTAATTGTTCATTTCCTCTCTATGGTAGTCAATTACAGTTAATAAAAATTTGACGTTAGATTTAAATATATCAGCTTTTAGGTGACTTCAAACTTTATTCTTGTTTTATTTCATAAATAGTGAACTTCAAGCTATTTGCAGTCGATTATTCTTGACTTTTTCTCCTAATATTTAACTGAAATCAATTTTGTTTGTTGTGGTTTGAAAGAGTAGTTAAAAAGCTCTTGTGCTACATTGTGTATAATTTGACTCTCGTCAGAAAAAGGCGTGTCTATAATCTTGGGGGGACTGATAAGTTCAGTGGAATACGAACTAGGGTCACTCAAATAGCAACATGATTAATAGAAATCTTTCAGCAGTAAAGACTTAGAAAGATGACTCTAGTTACTCATAATTGACTTAATGTATCATTAAAATCTACATGCAATTAAACAAACTAGTTGAATTCTACTAAATAAAAGAACTGGGTCTTATGATGTATAAATCTGTTAACTGTTTTCTGACTACCGTAACTGTATCACTCAGCTCTACAGGGAAAAGTGGAAGCAATCTTATTATCAGACAAGAAGATCCTCTATACAGTAATATGATGCTTCATGGACAGAATATCAAATAAGACAATAAATGGGCTAAAAGCATATAATTAAATATTGAAAATGACAAGACATCTCTACAATTTTCACTATATTTTTAGATACAATGTTGTTGATGAGACAACTATTGATAATTGCAATTTTATGTTGAAAAAAAAATGAAGTATGGAATTTTCGATTTAATGAAACTCGGAAGTCAAGTACAGTTTTTATAAACAGATTAATTGTTTTGCTCTACAAACAGTTCACAGTACAACTGAACCTTAAGTATGCAACTCATTTATTGAAGTTGAACACTATAGTTAACGAGTCATATTGACAATCCTTCAATCAAAATATGAGTAAAATTTACAGTGTGATTAAACATAATGAAGCTAGTTACAGTCGTTTGTTAATTTCAGCTTGTATACCTGATAAACGAAATAAGCTATCTAAAACCCTTTATCATGAAATTAGATAGTGCTATATATATATATATATATATATATATATATATATATATATATATATATATATATATATATATATCGCCTACCGCGAATCGCGTTGCTAGCTAGTGTTGGAATAGATTGAAATGAAGCTACGGGTGGTCACATCAAAATATGGCATCAGTTAACGAAGTCATTGACAGTTGAGTTGAGCTGTGTTATCAAATGCATACCACCGAGTTGGAGTGCGCGTGATTATCGTAAACAATGATTGGAAATGTTGGGTGACATGACTCGGAATTGATCGCCATGACAAATGCATTCATTCTTTATCTTCCCTGGAACCTTGAGTTTTAAATTTATCCGACACTTTTTCTTTGGCGAATTCATTCTTTTCAAGTTGTATCTTTTATGGCCAATCTTTGCTATCACCACTGGTACTGTTACTATGTCTACTACTCAGGCATTTGTCTTTAGGATTCTATCTCATTGTTGTCATATGGTGTGGTAACTTGAACTAATACACAATCTTGCTTGGGTGAACGCTATCTATGGCTAACTTGCTAACCGTCACTCTCGCTTAAACATTCCAGTTTTATCAAGAAATGGTCAAGTGAACTTATGCATGAGGTTACTAGCGTATACGATCGGTTTCGGAACTTCACAACAGTTGATACCTACAAATCAATATTTCTTTCCTCACGTTTCATAACATTATTTATGATTTATTTTCTTTCTGGTCTCCATTCTTTACTTGAAATATTTTATCTCTGGCATACAGCTAGTCGGAACCGATTTTCTGCCTAACCATAATTTTGTTTTCCTGATACATTTGTCTGAAATATGAATCAGTAATACAACTGAGTCATCAAATTCGGAGATTTGTTTAGCATATAAATGGATATTTGCAAATATGATTTTATTTATTGCTTATTTTATACTTTTTACGTATACCCAATCTAGCTTGGAAGAAAGTGCGATAATGGTTAATGGAAATGTAATTATGTATATTTTTGTGCGTCAATGCATTTTGTGGAGAGATTCATGTACACTAAGGACTACATTTGTGTAAAACCTAGTTAACATTGTCATACTTTTTGAAGGATATTTTTATAATACATACCGGTCTGTACACAAATTGTTAAAACATGTCAAAGCATGCTTTAAACAGTAAAATATAAGTGTCAGGTAAATTGGGATCTAATGTAATGGGATAACGTTCCACTTACCTTATTGAAATAGTATCAATATTGCTGTTGCTAGATGTTTGAAATAGGTTAATAGGAATCTTGGAATCTTGATTTCATTCTAATCGAAACCAGTCAGCAAGTGTTTATCCTCACTTAAGGGAGAACCAAGATTTATGTCCTACGGTAATTCAGTAACTATCCACATGGCTCTGTGGTATGTAACACGCTGCAAATCACATCTCTGGAGGACATCGGTCTACAGGACAGAAGATGGGTCTTGTTGATAAGTAGCATAAAAATCGAAATATAAATTTAGAGTTTTCTACAGTCTGATACTAAAGTACGGTCTCCAATTATGTCATTTACTTGATCTTTCTAAAGCACATTTTAAAACATCTAAAATCTCGAAAATATGAAATCGGTTACTACTGAATGATCAATTAGTTTCATCGTGTTAGTTTCACTGAAACATTACGACGTTTATGTATGTATATTAATCGAAAGGCAAATATACCCCATTTGATTGAAAATGTTTAATTAACAATAAGGCATTCAGATAGATTGTAGGTATTCATAGGTACATGCAATTTTTCTTATCACCTACCTATCTTAGCTGCATGAAGAATCTCTGAAAACGATTTTATTATAGTTCAATTAAAAAAATGAATTTACCAAACTAGTATGAATTATTCGATAGTTTATTTAGCAGAGAAACTTCATAGCTGTGTGATATATCAAAAGAACTATAATATGAATATACTATTGAACAGTAATAATTCTCATTAGGGTTTCTACTTTTCTCATTATTTTAACTAAAGATCTATGGATTACAAGTTAAATCATTTATTATTTAGAAACTACTCATTGATTTCTTGAAACTACTAAAGTAGTGTGTTCATTTCAAATTTGTTTGTCATTGATCCATGAACTTATATTCATTTGGTAATTGTTATATCCGGACGAAGAATAGGTGAATAATAACCTCTAGGATTTATTCATGGGCTGTTATTATATATGTTGTTGTTGTCTAACTATTAAGTAACTGTATTATATATATTCATATTCCTTTCATTATAAGCTTCCATTTGACCTACTGACTACCATTATATGATTTACCATTCTTAACTTACTCTCAATTTATTAGTTACCGTCTCTCAAATTCTTGCATAATTATTATTTTCTATTTTATGGTATGACTCAGTTTGATTTACGTGTATATAAACTACATATGCTTGAAATACATGATTCCTATGACAGAGGTTGATATTGGTGTTCTGGACTGAACCGGCTGGGTTAGGCGATAAGCTACCATCTCACAGATCCGGTAAGAACTCACACTGATTCTAGGCTGTTCGTACTGGTTTATGCGTCACTGGTTTGATCAATACGTCGGTGTTCTAATTGGCGATCGAATCACGTGATAGTTAACAGGCCATAAGGACATAAAAATAATAGTTTTTGTCATGAATTAACATCAATTAGAAACCAGAGTTCATTGATCAACTAGTTTTTTCTTTATCAAGAACTTTTCAAATGCATACACTTATATCATTAGATAAGATCTCATTCATAATATTGATATCTTGAAGATTAATTGATTTCATAAAACAAAATACTTATAGTAGTGTATTCATTTGCTATAAAATTTTAGTTTCTCATTTTCTTAAAGAATATTTTTCCATTACAAAATTATTCAACTTTGTTTCTATGATAAAATCTTGTTTTTTTTCTCATTGTTGATGTTTTCCGTCTTAGGTGCAGTTAAATCGCAAAGGTCAATAATTATTTCTGCTGTTATTTTCTTCTTATCTGCAGTATTAATTATTATAGCTTGCACATTCACATTCTTTTGGTTACAACGTTTAGTAAGTTTTGTTTCGTTCGAATTTTATTGTTTATTTCCATATTCACTCTTATATATGGTAATAAGACTATTGTAGAATAGATAGTGGCTACCAGTCAAATTAAGGGATCTCGTTTTCTTTTTATTTGGGACCAGTCAGATAGATAGGTATACATCCATGTTGATGTTCACATGTGGACTCAAACCCAGTACCTTTCTCCAGTGAGTCTTAAACAGGATGAGACATTCATTCTAGATTCTACTGTTGGCGAAAATCGATCTTTTTTTTATAAAACTTGTGACAAAGCATCCATATTTACATAATGCTCGTACCATATATATATATATATATATATATATATATATATATATGCCATCCAAGACTGATCGAAATTCAGTTCTTAATGTCATCAACATTATAATTCGGGCTGTGGATCAAACTAAATAGTTGTCTCTTTTTCAACATGTCATTTACTTGGTGGGTTTATTTTTGTTATATAAAATCTTATGATTTCAATCGATAACTGGTAAATTGTATTGAATTATTAAATGGAAATAGACCTAGTAGTTAAATAAAATGATTTAAATCTAAAACCAATTCACATATTTAATTCAAACACTCTACTGTGTATTTAAACATCTATCATGTAATAATGTTAGTTTAAACAAACAGAATTGAACTATCAGTTGTTATCTTTCTACAAACAAGAGATCGTTGTGTTTAATTCTGTGCAATTTCACAATGAGAATGATCAGTGCTATACTTATGATATAAACTCTGTATATTTGGTATTATTTCATTGCATACTTATAAAATCAACAAACTGAAATAAAATTGTTTAGTACTTAACTATTCAAGTTTTAATAAATAAATTTTTTCTGTTATATCCTAATGAGTAGAAAAATTATATTCCTGACGTTTCGTGATTCAATGTAAGCCACTTATTCAGAGTAAATAAATAATCGATATTAAATTAACACAAGTTTATTTCATTTATTTATTTACTCTGAAGAAGTGGCTTATATTAACTCACGAAACATTAGAAATACAATTTTCCTACTTATTGAGATATTACAAGAAAATATATTTATTATTAACTCACTATTCAATGTTTAATTTATTTGGGACCATCAAATCCAACATTTATAATGAAACCTATATTCAAGGTTTATTTCTCTATACTACTGATATTACTTTCACTATAAAACAAACATTATACGATATATCTAATATATTGGTTAAATCAACATATTTAATTTACAAATATAAAAAAATAGACCATTTCCTTCAGTTTATATGATCCATATCACATTCAAATGAACGAAACTAACTTGTTACATAAAGTTTATTTTCAATGTATAACAATAGGAAAGTGAATATTTCTTACTCAATATATGTTGTGAGAATAATAAATGTGTATTGTAAAAGTAGTGTACATGGTCAACAACAAAATCAAACTAATTGGATTAGTTACAAATGATAAATGTAACGTTACTTACTTGATTTTCATCGAATGGAAAGATTTGTAAAACAAATTTTTTTTATTCATAATGGGTGTTTGCGTATGTGTTGTCATTTATTATTATTTTTTGTTTCAAAATATTCATTTTAAATGAACCTACCTGTGAAATATTATAAGTTAAGCTATTCATTTTCACAATTCTACAATAGAATGTTACATATGTAACATGATCTATGTACTAATTGATATAGTTATGAATTGTTTTGATAATTAGTGACTTATTTTAAGGGTGTTTTTTTATTAAAGTTTGTCTGTAAATTCATTAAAGTAGATGAATATATTGTAGTTCACTTTGAGTATCAACAATTGATAGGTGGTTAAATCAAATGGTTTGTACTCTAATAGGCTATTTCTATCGAATGCATCAAACATGTATTCACCCTAGTTTAGGAATAATTATGAATGTTTAGTAGTTGAGACGTAGTCACTAAGATACTTTACTCTATCTGAATTTCATGCTAGCTGATAATTATCACTTATCTTGAAGGAACTGATCTATTTTATAGACCTGTAACCTGCATCAATCATTGTCACCCTGAGACGTTACCATTAAACCATTCAGGTTGTGGCTACTCTCCTGTGCGAAAGATATTTACAGTTTACGATTCCTTATCAACAGGAAATCATTGCCACATAGAGTTCACTGCTGACTACCTCGAGCAACCAAAAATGTCAACATAGTGCACTCATCGTCAATTTCTTTAGATTAATGACCACGTTGCAATCTGTTCAACAAAATTCGATCAGTATTTAAAGACCAGACAAACATGACATTGGCTATTACTTAGTGAAAGTTAATTTTCCTGATAATCCAACAGTAATTTCATGTTTAACGATTTCGACTTAAATTCTACTCAGATCTGTACACAAGTCCTCTCTCTCCAAAAAAAGATAGTGTGTCTTGTAAATGCTGTTCTATCTTTGATTTGACTTTTCTCAACGTACGATGAAAACATAACTTCCAATGCATAATATAGCATCATCAATGTGAAGCACACGTAAGTTAAAAAAGACAAACATGGTAAAACTATAATTTATAGACGACTTTTGAACGACGCCAAAGTGACCTTGAAAAAATTTGCCAACCTACTAGGGTCTAAAGAGAGTTATAAATAAGCATGAGAAATCAGAATCGAGATTGGGAGTTAGAATTTAGGGTTAGGAATTACAATTAAGGTTTTCGTTACGAACTGACGCCAACCATAATACCAAAATGCTATTTAGTTAATATGGATAAATAACTTTCATACCAAAATTCAAGATTTGCTACCTTTAATCTGATCGCTTCGTCCATTAATCATAGTCTCTCCACAAAGGTTTTACTTTTGTCTACTCATTATAAATGTAAGTAAAACTGTGTTATTTTACAAAATCAATAAACTGGTTATGGAAACTGCATATATTAAAAGGTGATCACCTTAAATTCGAAAGACTTCCTTGCTAACTTTAATTTATGTATGTAACATTTTATTCATAATTATTTGTAAAAGCTTGTATAAATTGGTTACTTATAATCCGAAATATAATCAGCCTTTAACTACAAACAATATTGTAGCATTTAATCATCAAAAAAATGATCATTACTCTGTCTAAATATTTACAATGGACAAAGTGTAATCTGTTACCAATAATTAATATCAGTATACTCGTCGAGTAGGATGATGTCGATTGTAACTCAATAGGCCTATCAGTTAACAATTTACTGGTACTTGAAGTTACAATCGCAATTAAAACAATCATACTTGTTGATAAAGTTGTATTCTAACTGATGAGTTTCAAATAGGTTAATATTATAGATCTTGGATTCTAGTATTAGATACTATAATGAAGAAGAACACAGATGAGGACAACCGATTATTTTTATCACAAAATTACAGAATTACTTGGTAAAATAGAAAAAACCATACATTAATACTTCGTTTGCAAAATGTTCATTAATTATCTCAGACTTTATTGTTCCTGCATTTCCATATCAATTGTTTTCTGTTTCCATTCTTCCCTTCTCAATCTTCTGCTGCCAGACGTTCTATTCTTGACTCGCGGTATATACTACTTATATCGATATAAGTAGCACACACCACAATACTATTTAAAATATTTTGTTCTTCATATTGATTAATCAAGATCCAAAACTATATTAATATCAAAATATTTACTGTTTTTTATCCCGACTGAATAAACGACAAAAATACTTCAAATTCTACTTTAAAGCATAAAATGTTTTTGCTGATTATTGAATATGAAAAAAAAGATGAATAACACTACTGATGACTGATATTTCCCTAATAATTATTACCTAGATGTTATTTTATAAAAGTTGGTTAATATGCTATGATTCATTAGGATTGTAAAATCTAATAATTAGAAAAAATCGTTGACTTATTACATCGAAACAATAGCCCCGAAATGTCCTCACATGGCCACGCGTATATAGCCACTGCCAGGAAAGTCCTTCTCATTGCCTTCTCGCGCTGGGGATATTGTTTACGAAATTGAGAGGACGAAAAACGAATTTCCGGTGCTTTACCCATGTTTATGGATATTGAGGATCCACCTACGGAAGTCGGAAAACCTTGATTCCAAACCAATGGTATACATGGGCTCAAGGATCCTGAAGGAACAAATGGTGTATGAACCAATCGTTGGTCACCGGCTACCTTGGGACTGCATCTCCTAACGTTGCTCCACTGCCTTGTGGACTAAACTTGTAGGTCGAAGGCTCCGAGTGTGGCCTCCTAAGCAAACCACGTGCTTCGGTTTGGGCACCCGGACAGTATTACAGTCCACATACAGATCAAGTGACGTGTATGGCGCATATGTATTCGGCGATCCTTTATACAAATATTTATGTGTTCAAATAAATAAATAAATTTAAACAATAAATTTATGATTTCATAATTTCCAAAAAAATTTATTTTGACTGAAATTTCAACATTTTTTTCATCATATCTAAGTTTTCAAAATAAAAATAACGTTATACAAAATAATAATGAATTCATGTTTAGACAAACTATCTACTCTTAATAATTATTATCATCGTTATTCATAATAACTTTATTAAATTGAACAATCATGGGTATCAAAAATTGAACAATGAACATTTAATGATCAATAGTTACTGATATTGAAAAAGAAATCATTTTTCAGTAAGTTTAAAATCCAGCAACATTTAAACAATAATATCAGAAAAGGGGTTTTATGGAGATTGTAATAATTTTGAATAGTTGTTTTCATCAGTGGTGGATGCGTAACTCTGAAGAGTCGTACATTAGAATGAAACGACGGTCCAATGGTTCGAGGTTTATCATGGTGGTCTGGCTTTAATCGACTCATGAATTCAACTAATAAATAAAATAATACAAAAGGTTTGTATTCGTTTTAATATAAATAATGACTATTGTTGTATTCAGTAAAGAATATTGCAACTATTAATATAATTTTAAGCATGGAATTTAAACTGATCATTTCTCGATCACAGTTTTATTGACTTTTGCTTCGG